ACATTGCTTATTACATCATTTTTGAGACTCTTTCCCACCCAGCTCTCACCCTCACCTTCTCCCACCACACTCCAGCTACCAGCACTAGTGACTCGCTGTGCTGAAGTTTGTCCTGGCTGTGTCACTGAAGGTCATTAGTGAAGGTGGCGCCTAGGTAACTGGTACTGTTTGTTGTTAGACTATTCTAGCTGTTATTTCATTTTTTTGTTTTGTTTTTGGTTTTTTTTCTGGTACCAGGAATCGAACTCACGACCTCACGCTTGCCAGGCAGGCGCTGTGCTGCTGAGCTAAATCCCCAGCCCCTTTAGCTGTTATTTCAGTACAGACATTCTATACTAAACCATCCTCGCTACTTTGTTTTTTATTAGAGGATTCACTAAATTCCCAGGTGAGGACACCTGCAGTTGGTTGAGATTCCTACTTAACATGTCCATATTGATGAATGAAAACCAAATATTAAATTCTCTAGATAGAGCCAGGCATGGTAGCACATACAGGTAGTCCCAGCACTCGGGAGGCTGAGGCAGGAGGATCCCTGCAAGTCTGAGGGCAGCCTGGGCTGCACAGTGAGGTTTTGGTTGGTTTTTTTGTTTGTTTGTTTTTTTGGTACTGGGAATCAAATCAAACTTAGGACCTTGCCAGGCAGGCACTTGTGCCACTGAGCTACATCCCTGGCCCTGCACAGTGGCCAACCTGAACTACATAGACCCTGTCTCAAAAAAAAAAAAAAAAAACCTTAAAATTTAAAAAACTCTCTAATTAGGAAATTTTACCAGTCATTCTATTTTTGTTATTTTCAAACTGGAGTATATATGGGAATTACCTGAAATGTCTGGCATTTTTTCATTCCTTTTCTTTTTTTTTTTTTTGGTTTCAGAGCTGTAAGACTCACTAAGTCTTGCCCCTGAGTTCAAGGATCCTTCCCTGCCTTGGCCTTGCTAAATGGACCTGGGCGGCCCCAGGGGTCTGATGAAGTCCTGGGAACTTCCCCATTCAGGTACTGCTGAAGCCGGGTCTGAGACCTACACTTTGAGAAGCCCTGCATTTAGTTAACAAATATGCCTAAATTAAGGTCCCTCGGTTAATCAAAATTGGCTTCACTGAAAAAGGTATCTTAGACTTAATTAGGTTTCACAAATTCCTAATTATATATCTAGATTCCAGTTTATCAGCCTAGTTTAATAGACTTTTTCTTCCCTTGGCTGTACTGGGATTGAATTTAGGGCTTTCACCCATAAGTAACATTCCAGCCCTTTATTTTTGTTTTTTTTTTTTTTTAGGACAATCTCACTAAGTAGCTAAATTGCCCAAGCTGAGCTCAATTTTTTTTTTTTTTCTTTTTTCTTTTTGAGACAGGATCTCGCTAT